GCGCTGCCCATGCTGCCCGTGCTGCCTGCCCACCCAGCGCCGTGCTGATGGCTCCCACGAAGACGGCTTTGCAGACCCACCGTCTCACGCAGGAGATCGCGAAGGAGGCGTTTTAACGGCTCATCCAGCAGTGGCACTTTGGGTCTGGGTAACAGGAAAATAGGAAATAAAAAATGATTCAGACTGATGGCTGGAAAATAAAAGTACTTAGCACAAGAGAAATACAAAGCCTTGCTCGCACCATCCAGGGCCACATTCAGTGCTAAAACATCACCAAAACCAAGCCCTCTGAATCCAGCCCGGTGCTATTTCTTGACCCCAGATTTTAAAACAAAGGCGGGCAGTTCCTCTCCAAGGCCAGCAGCCGGGCAGCTCGGTCTCTGAGGCATCAGGCACAAAAGCTCTGCCTGTGATGGCCAACGGCTCCAAGGTTTCCCACTGGGCAGGGACCACGTGCTGGCCATAAGCACCCCGCTCCCATGGATGCCGACCTCCTATGGCTGCTACCTCCCGCCGATGCCTACCTCAGACGGATGTTTATGTCAGAAGTCTCGCAGTCCTTACTGCTCTGGGGAGCCGCCCACTTGTCCTGGACCAGCATGTCCACATCTGCTTCCACCTGCACGCAGAGTGCCCTGCCCGGGGCACTGCCAGGGCAAACACAGCCTGTGACTCAGGAGATCTGCTGGCCGTCTGCGTTCCACAGGGCTGGGGACCCCCCGCCCCGAGCCGTGCCCATGATGGACACGCCGTACCTGGTGCTCTCGACCAGCAGCTGGGTGTTGAAGCCCACCTGGTGCCCAACGCCTGGGAGGGAGCGCAGGCTGATTTTGGGAAGGGTGTTGTTCAAAATTTTCGGCCTGGATGGTTGAGACAAGGGAAAGGCACTAAGTAGCATATTTGTACAGCAGATGCCCTGTCCCCTCAGCCCCCAGCCCTGTAGGCAATTGCAGACCAGCGGTCTTGGGGTCCCCTCCACCCTAGGACAGCAAGGATCCCTACCAGCCAGGAGCAGCTTGAAGCACATGCAAGGCACATTTGCATGTCAGGCACGTACAGAAACTCCCAACAGCTGAACCCTCGTTTATGTACCTGCTCCAGGAAGGGAAAGCAGGGACCCCATATGTTCAGAGAGCAGGCTCTAGACCAGACCCTCCTTTCCCCAGTGTGACCCAGACCCACTGAGGGCTGCTCAGGGACATCCATCTCCCACTCTCACTCACCCTGTGAGATCTCCACCATTTCCACGAAGAAGATTGCCAGCGAGACCATTTTTGCCAAGGAGACCATTTTTGCCAATGAGAATATCAAGGACAACATCCAGGAGACTATCAACAAGACCATCTTTGCCAAGGAGACCATCAACAAGACCTTCTTTGCCAAGGAGACCACCAAGGACACCATCTCTATCAAGGAGTCCACCAAGGACACCGTCTCCTCCAAGGAGACCACCCAGGACACCATCTGCGCCGAGGAGACCACCCAGAACATCATCTCCGCCAAGGAGACCACCAAGAGCACCATCTCCGCCGAGGAGACCACCAAGAGCACCATCTCCGCCAAGGAGAGCCCCAAGAGCACCATCTCCGCCAAGGAGACCCCCAAGAGCACCATCTCCGCCAAGGAGACTGCCAACAGGACCATCTGCGCCGAGGAGACCGCCAACAGGACCGTCTCTGCCGAGGAGACCGCCAACAGGGCCATCTCTGCCAAGCAGACCACCAACAGGACCATCTCTGCCAAGGAGACCGCCAACAGCACCATTTCTGCCGAGGAGACCACCGACAGGACCGTCTCTGCCAAGCAGACCACCAACAGCATCATCTCTGTCGAGGAGACTGCCAACAGGATGATCTCTGCCAAGGAGACCGCCAACAGGACCATTTCTGCCAACGAGACCGCTGAGCAGATTGCCACCAAGGAGACCATCTTGAAGCTTCTGGGGGTCACGTTTAGCTAGTGAATCTTGAATATCTGAAAAAAAAGGAAAGAGAGGTCACTGTGAGCTCTATGGACTCAGCACACAAGCATGTTGTGTCAGCCTGGTTGTTCCTTTCCCTCCACTGTCCCTCTTTTTCCCTTTTTTCTGCAATAGGGGAGGTGGCACCAGCCACTATAAAGTATCTGAACTGCCATCTCCAAAGTGCTTTGTAAATGTAAATTACCAGCATTGCCACTACTGCTGAATGGATCTGGACGAGCTTCTGTTTTTCTGGGCATGGTCAAAAGACATAAAAAGCTGAACTGGCCTCAAAAAAGAGATAAATCCTCTCTCTTCCATATGCTTACCATCTACATCCACTTTGGCAACCAAGGGCATGATTCCAAGTCCTTGTGAAGGGGTCAGCAGGCTGCAGAGGACGAAAACAGCCCGGAACACAGACATCTTCGGTCCTGATAACTGTGGAAAGTGATTGCCATCAGTGCAATGTTGGGACAGTCAGCACAAGCCAGTGGGGGTAGGAAAGAGGAGGGTGGAGGAAAGAAAATGGAGGAATGCCTGTCGGGGAAGACAAAATCAGTGAGGAATGGAGCCTTTCCCACCTCCTCACCACACTGGTGGGCACAGCAAAACTCCTGATGGCAGTCTCCTGCAGGAGGAACCAGAATGTCAACAGCACTTGCTCCAAAGCAACCGACACAGCAGCCAAGTGAAAAGCAAACGGCTGTTCGGTTGTTCCTGCTTTAATCCCTTAGCGCCGGTGAGCAGTGGGAGAACAGGACATTTCTGACAACATGATCGTCTCCAGTCATAGAATCACAGAATCATTACGGTTGGAAAAGACCTCTAATATCAGCAAGTTCAACTGTCAACCCAACACCACCATGCCTGCTAAACTATGTCCTGAAGTGCCACATCTACATGTTTTTTGAACACCTCCAGGGATGGGGACTCCTCCACTGCCCTGGGCAGCCTGATCCAACGCCTGACCGCTCTTTCAGGAAAGAAATTGTTCCCAATATCCAATCTGAACCTCCCCTGACGCACCCTGAGGCCATCGCCTCTCGCCCTGTTGCTGGTTACTGGAGAGAAGAGACCAACACCTGCCTCACTACACCCTCCTGTCAGGCAGTTGTAGAGAGCGATCAGGTCTCAGCCTTCTCTCCTCCACACTAAACAACCCCAGTTCCCTCAGCCGCTCATCATAAGACTTGTTCTCGAGACCCTTCACCAGCCTCGTTGCTCTCGTGGAAAGAAAAGCAACGGCATCTACACAGGGCAAATGCACCAAGGTATCGAGTAAGGACAGCATCTCCTTGTTTGAATGTCATGATCTCTGCACAGACGTCAAACATCTCGGTCTTCCCTCTGCGTGAAGGTATCTTTTGCTAGAATTGTAAGAAGGAGAAAATAATTTTTACAGTTTCAGCCTCAGAGAAATATTTCTGTGGGACCTACAACTTGAAGTAGCTTTATGGTTTTAAAGAACTATAATGATCTTCATTGGCCCGCATCTATTTAAATGTAAATAGCACATCAAAAAGGGATCAAAGCAAGTGTGAGAGATCTAATTCACCTTAGCTGAAATGCTATCTCAGATAATAGAGTTATACCAAAAATAATTTAGGTGATAATTGTTTATGAAAACCATGAAATATCCTTTCTTCTTCAAGGACTGCAGATACAATGACCATGCATGTCTGTTCTTGAGAAACTCGTAGTGAAACCCACCACACTTTTTACCTGTCGGAGCATATTTAAGGCAGGCAGCAGGCAAGAATAACAATTTTTGTTAAAAAGCCAACACTCACAGACGAACACTAAGGGTTCTCCTTTGGGAAGCATTCAGGTGTGCAGAAGCAGAAGCTGAGAGCACACTTTTCGGGGAACAAATTTGCTCTTACCTGGCCAAGCTCTTGAGTGCGAGGCTGTCTCCAGCCGATGTCCCTGTCTTCTGAAGATGACCTGCACTGAGCATCCTTATATAGAGCGCATACAGCAGGAAAGAGGCAAGCAGTGCTGTCAAGGACATCCAGAATAATTGGTGGGGAGCAAAACAAATAATGTATGGGTTCTGGTGACTTCCACTGCAAATATTTCCCTAGAGATGTTAGGAGTTAGGTAAATCATTGAGCAACAGCCCGGAGGTGCAGAGGCAGACTCGGCCAGCTCTGGGTGCCAGCCTGCACACCGCTGCCTCGTTCGGTACAGCATCCTTTCGGGCTTGCTCTCGTGTCAAGGTGCACGCGTGGCTGAAAAGTCACACGCTGATAAAATACTTTTTTTTTTTCCAAATAAAAATGAGGTTTTGACTGAAAAATGTGTCAAAATACTGGTCACCCCTTGCTGCTAAGCACTTCTGCAGTTCTTGGTGCTGCAGTGCTGAGCACTTTACCCTCACAGGCAGCCCATGCAGTGGGGACGTGCCACACACAGACGCTAAGTGGAGGACCAGGCAGCACCTTTCTCAGTGTAAAAGCAGACCATCGAGACAGTGGCAGAGCCCGGTATTCACCATCCAGGTCAGCAGGACATGCCCAGCATTTCCCTCCTGGCTTGCCTACAAACTGTGACCTTGCCCAGTGTTGATCAAAGCCCACAGCACCTGCCCACTGACCTGAATGGCTCATAATCCATCTGATAATTGAGGAGAAGGAGGTATTGAATTGGGAAGGAACAGTGACACCATGATAAGGCGTATTGATTGGGTGTCACGGCTTTTCGGACACCCTGAGCTGGCAGACTCTTCAGAGAGAAACCGTCTGTTTCGGAAATGCTGCACTGGTCTAACTAGCACAGCATTATTTCCAAGTCCATCACCTCTGCCTCAGAGCACTCCAGGAGGACTGGAGGAGGGATGTGCTGTCACGGGGGGACACTGCTGAGAGGGTGATGCCGCTGACCACAAAGCCAGGGAGCTCCCAGACTAGAGCTTGTCAGCTTGAGATCATTTTGAAGTCCTGGAGGGACTGCTGATCGCAGTGTGGGCGTACCAAGAGAGGGGACCTCCCTGCTACACCATGCCATGCAACAAATGTCTGCAACTGCCCAGGGTCTTCCCCCTCCGCATCGCAGCTCTGTCCAGACCCCTGCCCTCTTAGATTGCTGTCCAGGCTTTTTCCATGCTGAAAAATTGTGTCCCACCTGGTCCATCACAGCTCATTTACTGCCAGTTCATTTACTGCTACAGGCAGGAGAAGAGGAGCAAAGCTTTCTGCTGAGCCAACGTGCCATGTGCACCCACTGCCATGCTGGCTGTCTCCCTTTCACCCTGTCCTGGCCCCGGTCACCGGCACCGCACGGGTCTGCAGAGCCGCTGCCTCGAGCTGCCCCGGACCAGCAGCTCTTCGGGGCAGGAAAATGAGAACCCTCCTCTGCGGGCCACAGACCAACCATGGGCCCTGCGTGTGGACCACGTCCCAGCGGGCACGGCGAAGGTGTCCATGGTGGAGGGGAGGACACATCGGCCAAGGGCACCGTGGTGAACTCTGCGCTCCCCCAACGTGCTCATTAACGACAGGGGTGGGTGGGCTGCTCCCCAGCTCGGAATAATAATAGCCCAGAAAAACGCTTGCTCAGAGTTAATACTTTCTGCAAACTTGGAAATAAGCATTTCCAGCAGATTAACCAGGTTTTGTCACACATTAATTCCGGCTTTAAAATATATCTTTGCTAAAGGCCAAGGAAGGGATGGCAAAGGTGCCAAGGTACTTACGGAGTTGTCACTCTCCTTGCAACCTGATCAGCCAGGCGTCTCAGGAACACAAAGCCTTGCTGTCATGGCTAGATGGTGACATTTGATAAGGTGGAAGAGAGTGTTAACAAGATGGTATTATGTTATCATCCCTCCTGAATCACTTTATACTTTGGGCAGTCACTGTAGGAAACCCAAATTGCCATAAAGGCAGAGCTGATAATGGTCAGCACACAGCAAAGGGGCACTTTGGCACTGCAGAGAATAGCTTCTGAGCAGTGACCTTTCAGGCATGACAGTAACTTGGCCTCTCACCAGCCGCTGCTGAATGCAGAGCTCTCTGACAAATATTTTGGATAAACCAAAGCAGATTCCCATAAAGGGAACGACATTGTGATGTGCAGGTCTCGCTGAAGCAACTTTCAAAGCCCCGAGAACACGAAGCCAAGTCCCTGTGTGAGGACAGAAGCACAGAGTAAACCAGAACGGACTTGGTCAAAGGGAGAAGAATAGGACTGGTGTGAACAGACGCTGCTTTGTCGCTCACCTGGAAACCGAGACGTGAGGGCAGGCAGTGAGAGACGCGCCTCGAGAAGCGTTAGGGATCTTCACGTTGGCAAGAGGGCAGCAGGCTCTGGCCAGGGCAGGCAAGGTGAAACGTGGTAGCCCTGGCTAAAAACCGAGATGGTTCTGCTCTGCTTTCCCCTCGACAGCATCCTCCGGCCGTGGCCCTTCTGCCTGAGGAAACCATCTCTGCAGGGACAGTCTTGGCTTGCTCTTCCATTCCTCTGGGACCATTAACTGCGAGACACTGGTACACCCCACGCTGCTGGGGGGAGCGGGGCTGCTGGGCTCCGTGTACAGCTCCAGGGGCAGTGCCGGTGCCTGCACGCGTCCGAAGGCTGCACCTCCAGCGAGCACCCCAGGGCAGCACCTCCCGGCTGCCCCGTAGCGCAGCCTGGCAGCGAGGTGAAGAGGTTCGTGACAAATTAACCAAGTGCCCCCTGAGATTGCCAGCGCTAACTTCTCCGAGGAGGGCTGCACACAGACATTGTAACTCATTTTTTGTTCTTCTTAAGGGAACTCAGACTCGAGCTGTTCAATTGTTTATTAGCTAATGAAAGAACGAGGAGGGAGATCTCCTAACAAACCGTGCTTGGCAGTGACAATGTCTGCAGCGAAAGGAGGAGCAGAGGCACCGTGAGCACCAGTCCTCACGGGGAGCTGGGTTGATGGCCGCTTCCCTCATTGCTTGGGACTCCTGACGAGGACAATTCCTCACAGGCGTCGCAGAACGAACGCCTGCTGGGGCTGGCAGCGCGCACAAGAAAACAAATGGAGCTCTCAGAGCCTCCCTCACAGCGAGATTTTCCTGGGGACAATTTCTTAAAAACACAACAATCTTTTCAAAGATATCCTTAACTCTCCCCCAGCTACCTGTCACCGGGAAAAATGTTCAAATCATGTCAGCTCGATGAAATCGGGATCGAAGCTGTTTATTGACTTACTAATGACAGGTAATTATCCAGCAATCAGTGAACTCTACTCCTGAGATCAGTATCTGCAATGCAGCCGATAAACCGCGATGCTAGGCACTTCTGAAATATTAAAAAGCACACGGAGATGTCTAAATGCCCGTCTCTAACTCATTCTGAGCCATCCCCATCCCCCCACGCGACAGCAGACGCGCTCCCCTGCTCTCGCAGCCCAGGCACCCTGGGATGCACCCCTGCGTCTCCCGCAGGAGCTGTGGGTGACGTGCCCAAAAAAAAGCTTCCCTGCCTGCCCGTGCCTGCCAAAGGTCTGGCAAGGGGTTTGGGGAATACTCAGAAGGAAAAATAACAGGGTGGGAATTCCTGGTTTTGTGCATTTTGGCATGAATAAAATCTCTACTTTTGGCATACTTTCCATACAAGTTAACCAGATAAATTGATGCTCCAGGGTGGAGTTCTTACTGACGCTTTGGCTGGTTTTAGGGATGGTAAAGAGGGACATGCTGATTTCTGGAGACCTCGGGGAATTCCTGGTTTTGTGCATTTTGGCATGAATAAAATCTCTACTTTTGGCATACTTTCCATACAAGTTAACCAGATAAATTGATGCTCCAGGGTGGAGTTCTTACTGACGCTTTGGCTGGTTTTAGGGATGGTAAAGAGGGACATGCTGATTTCTGGAGACCTCGGAAAGGCAAAGTGGGTCTGATTTTGAGGACAGGAACACCGTTCCAAGAGGCTTCAGAAGAGCAGCCTGTGTCCTCTGCAGCGGATCTGTTCTGTGCGGGCAGATCCCTCCTGCCTGTGCAGGAGCCCCGGCCGGGAGGCATTGCCCTCCTCCAGCTCCCACCGCCCACCCCGTGGGTGCAGAACGGCCGGCAAGCGATTTTCCTGGCAGAGTCACTCACAGCCCTGAGGGCAGGAAAGGCTTGCAACGTCAGCCAGGCAGTGCCGCTTCCGAAAAAGACAACAACAGTCTACAGCGAAAGAAATGAGAACAGTTTTCCCCGTGCAGATAGTGAATCGGCAGAAGGAGCCGTAGCCATGCTTACTGTTGATGGATGGCACATAAGCCACATGAAGAATATCTGCCAAAACTCCTTTCAGTGGAAGCTCCTGAAACACAGAGAAGTGGTGTAAACCACCCGTCGCTCTGTGTGCCAGCAGCCGCGCCTGCCGGGCTCTCCCCACCAATTCATCCAGCGCCTTCTCCAGCCACAGGAGAATTGCAAAGGGTCCCCCCGAGCAGGATGGGAACGTCTGAGAAATGCTGAATTTCCATGAAAGCTGCCCCAGGCGAGACTGTTCCCAGCCCCAGCAGCACTCTGCTCTCAGCCCTGTGGTCGGTGCCGGGCACCCAGGCACCCTCCTCGAGCCCAAAGCCCTGCTGCAAGACGCGATCAGCACTCGCCCTCCCAAGCGTCTCTGCCTCAGCATCAGGGTTAGAGGGAGATGAGGAGGTTGAACATCCAAGCACACACGGCCTCAGCCCAGCCCAGCCCACGCTCCCACCCTGCCGGTGCCACACTGGGGAGAGTTACTCGTGGCCAAAACTCTCCCGTGAATGAAGACGGTGCGTCACGAGCGGGGACCCCTTCCAGAGCATTCATGCCTGTGGGCAAATGGTTTTGGCAGTTGATTTGTTATTTGCTGTTCCTTGAAATAACAGTTTGATCTTTGGCATTTACTTTGGTTTTCTTGGGGTTTTTTAGCAAGTCTGTTATTGATAACGAAAGCAGCAGGACGGGGCTCTGGGGCGCGAATTCCGGGGACCCCCGTAAACAAACCCC